AAAGGGTAACATCCTTCAGACTCTTGATATTGGTGACCTAGAAACTGTGTTGATTGTTGTAGAGGCAAATCGGTCAAGATAAAGAAAAAGAGTTCATTCATAGTTTTGATCTTTTGGAAGTTATTCACACGAAAATTAGTAGACCATATTCAATTACATTATGTAATTGTAATACGTCATTACTTTTGTTGCTGACTTTTCTCGATACGGATATTTGTTCTTAATTAAGTAAAAGTCTGAAGCTCTTGAAAAGTTCAAGAATATTAAGACTTAGGGCATCTCCAACCCATCACACCAAAATGGTGCAAATTTTACACCAAAATGGTGCAAAAACCACATCAAACAGTAATTCATCTCCAATCCATTGCACCATTTTTTGCACAAAAAAAAGAATATTCTCAGAATATTTCTTTTTGTCTACTTTTATATTATTAATTTTTACTCCCTATATTTTTAACTATTTCAACAATTAACCCCACATATCAAATTTTATTTTTTCACATATTTTTCAAACAAAATGATTTATTACTTAAAAAATAAACTAATAAAACAATAAAATATTATTTTATTAATTAAAATAACTTGATTGCTAAAATAATCTATATTTATTATTGACATTGCCAAAATATTACATTTAAGAACACAACAGAAAATAAAATACAAGAAAATAATTAAACATTAACAACAATGTAAAAATTACAAATTTAATATGCACTTAGCTATCTGAATTAGTGTATTCCTCCCATAGATGATCTATCAATGCATTACTAAGCGCAATATGAGCATCTTTATCCTTGATTTGTCTGTAACGTGCAATAAATTGATTAAATCTTGTAGTTTCATCTGCTATAATATCAACTTCTGGTGTTGGTGCTTCCCTCACTTCTTGAATTGGTGCATAAAGATCACGTTCATCCCCGATTATCATATTATGCATAATAATGCATGCAGTCATTATGTCATGTAATACATGTTTTTTCCAAAAACGTGTTGATCCTGCCACAATTGCAAATCGAGATTGGAGAACACCGAACGCACGTTCTACATCTTTTCTACATGCTTCCTGTTTCATGGCAAAATATTTACCTTGTGGCTGTTGGATTGTTTGTAGCAGTCCATTTTGGATATATACCATCAGCTAAATAATAACCCATATTATACTCTTTTCCTTGAATAACATAGTGAGTGGGAGGAGCAATACCTTGAGCTAGATTAGATGATTCCAGCACATTGATATCATTATTGGTTCCTGGCATACCAAAATATGCGTACCATATCCAAAGATCATAATTTGCTACAGCTTAAAGGATAATAGTTGGTAACCCATTACGTCCTGCGTATTGCCCAGACCATGCCGTTGGATAATTTTTCCATTTCCAATACATGCAATCAAGACTTCCTAACATTCCTGGAAAACCATATTTTTTACCAATATAGAGTAGCTTAGCAATATCATTAGCGTTAGATGTTCGTAGATACCACTCTGCGAATATCTCCACATAGCACGATAAAATTTTGTCATACTTTTAGTTGCTGTTGACTCACCTATTTTAATGTATTCGTCTGTAGCATTTGCTGATAGACCGTATGCCAACATGCGAAAAACAGCTGTTACTTTCTGTAACGGTGATAATCCTATTCTACCAAGTTCATCACTTCGTTGTTGGAAGTAATAGTCATGATCTTTCACTACATCAACAATACGAAGGAACAAACTTCTTGACATCCGATATCGACGACGAAACATATCTTCTCTAAAACTTGGATTATCGGTAAAGTAATCTATGACCAAATTCTAATGTGCAGTTTCTCGACCGCGGTTGATCACTGCATGACCGGGAATCGAGCCATCATGGATCGGTTGGTAGTTTTATTGACGTAAATTGTTAGCGAGGATCATGTTGTTGTTGATGTACTCATAAATTACTTCTTCGGTTTCATCAATCTCTGTAATGATATTGGACAGAAAATTATCATCATCCGAAGATGAAGATGATGATAAATATGATGGATCTCCAGTATCGAAATTCATTTTTGAAGTAAGAAAAGAATGACTGAAGTATGAAAAAATGGAGAATAATAATTTTAACACAACAACGAATAATTGTGTGGAGGTACCTAATCTAGCATGCTATTTATAAAACATTGTTTAGATGTATACGTTGAACAATGTGTAAAGCTGAGCTGATTTCAGGAAATGCTTTCCAGCTGTTATCAATTTGTCACAAAATTCAAATTTTCTTAGCTGTATACGTTGGACAATGTGTAAAGCTGATCTGATTTCAAAAAATGATTCCCACTCATATAAAAGTTTTCACACAACTCAAGGAATATTTAGTTGTGTATACGTTGAACGATGTGTAAAGCTGAGCTAATTTCAGAAAATGTTTTCCACTTATATAAAGCTTTCACACAATTCAATGAATGCTTAGTTGTGTATACGTTAGACAATGTGTAAAGCTAAGCTGATTCAAATTCAATGAATGCTGAGCTGCATACGTTGGACAATGTGTAAAGCTAAGCTGATTTCAGAAAATGATTCCCACTGATAACGTTAGACAATGTGTAAAGCTGAGCTGATTTCAGAAAATGATTCTTACTGATAACGTTGGACAATGTGTAAAGCTGATCAGTTTGTACACAACGATTCAATTTCAAATGTTGACCACCGATAAATTCAAATTCAAATTCAAATTCAAATTCAAACAAATTTTTTTTTTGGATTGGCTATAAATAACATTTACGGCTTCTACTTTAAACCACCCAATTCGAAGTATTTCTTCAAAGTATTCCTAATCTCCAAACCAACTGCTTTTTACCAAAAAAAATGTCGGTTCGATTATCTGGATACACGGTTACTGAAGATGTGATCCTTTGTCAAGTATTCATGGATATTTCTTAAGACCCTATTATCGGTAGAAACCAGTCTCGAGATACATTTTGGTCTTGTGTGGAGGACAGATACAATGAACTTAGTGATCAGCATTTTGAGGTGCGTACGAACCGATCAGTTTGTTCTCGAATGGAAATAATAAGTAATGAAGTAAGGAAATTGAATGCGTGCTTGAGACAAGTGGAGAATCTGAATCCAAGTGGTGCTTCAGATGAAGATATTATAAGTATTCTATTAATATTATTTTGAAATTTATTATTGTTTTTGAAATACATAACTTGATGTTCACTATAATTTGCAGTTAGTTCGAGCAAAGATGTTATTTGATGTTCACTATAATTTGCAGTTAGTTCGAGCAAAGATGTTATTTATGCAAGAACCAAAGTACAAAAAATGTTTCAAATTTGATCATGTCTGGAATATGATTTATGCAAGAACCAAAGTACAAAAAATGTTTCAAATTTGATCATGTCTGGAATATGGTTAAAAATTTTGAAAAAATTAAAGATGATGTCCCCACAGCAAGACAAGTTGGTCGAAGACAGCCCTAAAGTGTGAACTTCGACTCGTCACAATCAGATAATCCCACTCCGGATTCTCTTATATCAACATCTCCTGGACTGTCATCATTTACTCCACCTGAACGACCTATTGGGGTAAAAAAAGCCAAATTGAAAAGGAAAACTTATGATCATGAGTCAAGTGTAGTGGACTCCATCGATGCAAATAACAACCGACTTATAGACAGGTTAGACAAGGCGAGCTTGGACATGCAAGTAGCATTTGATATTGAACGAGAAAAGATAGCCATGAAAAAAGATAGAGATGAATGGAAAATTATAATGAAAAATTTGAATTCCATTGTTGATCCAAACGTACGTGAGTACGTTCGAGCTTAACAGATTAAAATAATACAAAAAAGAAATCAACAAGAACAAGGGTCTGCTTCTAATTTTGACAATTATTTCAATGATATTGGACACTCTGGATCCGATCTACCAGATTATTGAGAGTTGCATGTCCATCTTATGTAATGTTATATGTTTAGTTTGTAATTTATGTTTTATTTTAATGAATTTTTATATTATGTGTGTCGGTTTTTATATGTTATGTATTTCAGATATGTAATTTATATTTAAATTCTGTATTAGGATTGCTCTTTATATTTTTAATTTATATTTCATGGGACTTTACTTATAATGTTTAGATTTTAATATTGTAATTAATAATATTGTCTTTTAAATTTTAACATTATTTCCATTTTTAAAAAATAACTTAGTTTGTCCAAATTATACAATTGGGGTAAAATTATAAAATTTAAATATTATTGGGGTTGTTTAATAAATTTAATAAAACAATTGGGGTCAAGTTGTAAATACATAAAATTAAAAGGTTAAAAAACGGAAAAAAATGAACAGTAATGTGGTGATGAACAGTGTGACGCCAAATATGACGTCGCACTGTTCATCACCGCTAAAATGCAGCAAAAAATGGGCTGGGTTGGAGCTCACACGCAGCGGCAAAACTATTTTTTGTACCAAAATGCCGCTGCGTTGGAGATGGTCTTAAGTTGAGAAATAATTGGCAAAAGTTGTCAAGATTGTTAGATCTAATCGAGACGGTGAGTATTTTGGCAAATATGGTAGTAGAAGACAACATAAGGTCCATATGAAAATTTTATAACCAACCCCTTGAAAATTCCAAAAATTATAAATATCCCCTTTAAAATTTTAAAACAGTCATTTGAATTTTTTTTACAGCTTGCCCCCATAAAAGTTGCAAAAGTAATAAATATGAAATTTTCAATAATATAAATAACTTCTTAAATATTTTACAAACAATCCCTTGAAAGTTTGTAGAATTACAAACACTTTGGGAGAATTTATAAAAATCCCCTGTAGGTTTTGTAAATTATAAATAGCCCCAAAAAACTTTACAAAACATTTCCCTAAAAACTTTACAACCATCCATTGAAGTTACAAAAATTACAAATACCCTCAAAATCTTACCAATTTCACCCAAATAAATTCTAAGATTATAATCACCCCCTCTAATTTAACATATTTCACTATAATATTATAATACATTAATATGGGGAGTATGTGAGGTGAGAGGATATAATAGTATTGGGAAGTCCTATGTCCAGAATGCTGGGGGCTAGTGGAACTCTTTACTATCCATTTTGGGATTAGTGGAAAATACTAATCTCAGATGAAACAAACACAAATACTGATTTAAATCTCGAAACAGTAAAATCCCAGTCGTCGTTTAGTTCTTAAAAATTAAAAAATTTTATTTAGATTTGTAAGGAACAGATAGATGGTTAAGCTATCTAAGTTTGAATTTTAAACATAATATTTTGATTTATTTGAGGAAAATTCTACCACTCAAACTAGCTACTTTAACTACTAATAAAAAAAACTATATTATCTTCTTCTCATAACATAGCAAAGAAGAAGTACTCATTGTTTATGCATTCTTAAACATTTAAAGTATTACTCTTCTTCTCATAACATAGCAAAGAAGAAGTACTCATTGTTTATGCATTCTTAAACATTTAAAGTATTACTTCAAAGATGATATATAACTTATAATGAAGTACTCATTGTTTATGCATTCTTAAACATTTAAAGTATTACTTCAAAGATGATATATAACTTATAATTGATAAAGATATAATAAAATCATCTCTCTTATTATACCAAGATATTAAGGTGTTTATTCAGCTTATAAACCAATATATGTAAACTAAATAAATTAAAACAATCCAGTGTGAGCATGGGCTTGATACTTATTTAATGTGAAGCCAAACCATCTAAGAATTCATTGCATTGGGAACTAAACCATACTCATAAGAGAATTGTAGAAATGATGCGTCATCAATAATAATGTTTCGACATTTTTTACACAAATAATTAGAGAAGACGTTAATGCACTATAAATTGATGAAGGTCCTTAAGTCCAGAAAATGATTAACAATGAGAAAAAAAATTAAGTCCAATTCTATATATATAATCTAAAAGTCTGCATGTTTGACCTTACATAATTTGGTAATATATGATTGACGTGCTCAACTCCAGTAAAATATTCACATTTTGCCTCTTGGTATTGGAAATGTCGGAACCATCCTGTAATATGTGAAAATATTTACAATCTTTTTGTAAACTTTCAAGCACATTATAGTAAAATTCCTAATGAAGAGAGACATTTGATATGCAAATAAAGTGATTAAAAACCCAAGAAACTAAACCATGGAACTCGGAAGTGAATTTTTATTACATCCTTAAAAAAAGAACTTTCAATTACACTAAGTCGCATTATAAATTTACAATCATACTCAATTGATTAAAAAAAATAAGTAAACACGGAGGACGGAAATTCAAGGCGACAGACACAAGAGCCTCCGCAAATACTGGAAACTTGCTCACAACTTCTACAAATTAGTAATTAGCTTGCAAGAAATAGTAATAATGAGAGCAGAAATGAACTCACACGAACCCCTCAGTAAGATACAATCCTGTTGAACAAGTTTACAGAAAATCAGCACCATAACAACAAAAATAACCCAAAACAATTAGAAAAAAGAATAAGAATAACACACCTTGAAATACACCTACACACGCACACACTCACACCAAAAACCAAAAATAGCCCAAATTTTAACCTTTAAAAGATACATACAAGCATAACACACACATGCACACACCAAGACATACCCACACACAAGAAAGCCAACCCCTCTAATTTTTCACTTGCCGAAGTCATCTACCACCATTGGGATAATGAACTAATGCAATCAAATAATGTAGATACTTTTGCTGCTGGGAAACAAACTCGCACTGCAGAATTAGCATTGGAAATATGACCTGCAGGGATATATATAAACAAACAAGCAAAGATGTAGATGTGTCTGTCTGTGTCAAGCAGGATATACACTACTGAGCATGTTGACACTGCAAATCTTTCTAAAATCAGGACACTTGGGTTAAGGATAAATTACCAAGAAAATATGTGTCAGAAAATATGAGAGGTGTCAGAAGGTGTCGTGAGCGTAAAGAAAATTTATGAGCCATGCCAAAAATTTCACAGTACCTTTTTTTTCTGGAATTCAAATATTGAGATCTAGAAATGTACGAAACACTTCAAAAGCATATGATATGTGCTAGAAGTATGTGATGTGTGTCAAAAACTACCCTGTCTCATATGCATGACCAAGTTCGATCGATTGACTTCTGGCAATGGGCGGTTTGTGCACTACCGAGCACAAGGAATGGGTGAGTGGAAACATGGGTGTGCATGGATGATTAACGGTGCATGCATGAGTGACTGTGTGACCAACGGGTGCATGAGTAGGACATGCACAATCGATGGGCGATGCATACATGACTGAGGGTGTGGTGCGAGGGCAGCAATGGCCTGGTTTGATCGACGGGTCTGTGGCAAAGGGGATTACACAACCGATAAGAGGTGCATGCACGACTGCGAGTGTGGCGTGAGTGTAGTAGTGACACGGCTAAACTAAAATACTACATCAAAGCAAATGCATGAATGCAAGGTGCCTCATCTTTTACAAATTAGATTCTCCTGACGAAGAAGCAGATGGATGAAGTATTTTAAAAGTATAGACAGACCTCTATACGAAGATTAAAATAATCACAAGCTTTGGGCAGAAAAAGATTATCAAGGTTGAAAACTTCAAATTCAGGATGCAAATGAGTTCAGTGAAAGTAAGAAAAACAGTTGCAGGTTTTAGTGACTTCAGAGTTTAGAATGAAATTAAAAAGTTTTGTATAAATAAATAAATTCGCGAAGTTGAAAAACTCAGAGTTCAGAGCATAATTAAAACTAGTCAGAACATTAACAGTTAACAAAAATAACGATAAAGCATACATGCACACACCAACACACACCCAAACAAACAAAGCAACCCCCTTTAGTTTTGCACTTATCAGACTAATATACCAACAATAGGAAAATGAACAAATTCAATCAAGTAATGTTCATAATTTTCCTGGGGAAACAACACTCACGCTACTGTTTTTATCAGGGAAAACACCCGCGCTACCGTAGAATTAGCATTGGATGAGTGTGTGTGTGTGTGAGTATTATATAGGAACAAGCAAAGATGTGCATGTGTGTGTCTGTGACTACTGGGGCATGTGATATGTTAATAAATTAGGAATCGAAGACGTGGCATGCATGTCTATGATGCAGTATACGAACTACTGGCATGTTAATAAATAAACAAGCAAAAGTGTGTGTATGCGCGCGCGTTTGCGTGCATGCTCTGTGCGCGCGTGGTGCGGGTGCGTGTGGGTGTGTGCGCGTGCTCGCGTGTGTGATTACCTGATGTGAGCATGATACGAACCGCTGAAGGGCACTGTGGGCTTGGGAACTGGGGGGAAAATGTTCCACAATCTCAGCGTTGAGTCGATGCCCCCTGAAGCCGATGCAACCGTGGTGCCATCTGGGCTCAAAGCTAAGTATGGGGCGACGTGACCCACAAGCTCTAGCCGATGCAACCGTGGTGCCATCTGGGCTCAAAGCTAAGTATGGGGCGACGTGACCCACAAGCTCTCCTGTCCTAACACAGGATGGGTAGTCCCAGAGAGTCATGTGATCCTGATCGGTACCGCTGCACGAGCTCAAAAACTGCTCGCTGTTCTTGCTCCACATCAGAGCACAGACTCGGGTGCTGCCGGTCTTCACCGACCTCACACAAGCACCGGTTTGCGTGCTCCAGAACCTGATCGATCCGTTGCTCTTGCCGTCCCCTCCAACACCTCCCCCTGTGGCCAGCAAGCAACCCTTGAAAGGGCACCAGTCAAGGGCCCTGACAGAAGCATCTCTAGCAGCAACCTTGAAACGAAAAGCCCACTGATTCTGATTGCGAGCATCCCATACATGAACCAGGCCGTCGCTGCCTCCGCTCGCTAGTTGCTTGAAGCTTGCGTGATCAGGTGACCATTTGAGCCCGCAAATGTCGCCGGGCCCGTGTCCTCGGTAGCTTTGAACAACGTGGGCTGCAGACGGCATCCTGGGATCGCTGTTGACAACTCTGCCGTCTGAGCCTCCTGAGGTCAGTATGTTGTCACATTTCCAAGCCAGAGACCCGACTCGAGATGATCTCCAGTGCACATTTCTCAAAGTCCTCGTCGGGCACTTTCGTTCGACGTCCCATATGTAAATCAGCGAATCGTGCATTCCAACGGCGAGGTGGCGGCCGTCGGGAGCCCAGCTGAGGCTCGAAATTGAACTGCCCATGTAGTCGAAGACGATCTCATGAGCGGAGGTGCCAGGGTTCAGAGAGTGCACGACGTCGTCGAGGACGATCGCCAGGTTGCGGCTAGGGCTCCAATCGAGGAGGTTTAGATGATCGCCGTCCTGGAGACCAGCCGCATCGAGAATCTGACAGGCACTGATGATACTTTCCACTGGTTCTTTCTCTCTGCGACATCTTTTCCTCTGCTTGTTGGCGGCATTGCCGCCATCGTCGTTGATGCTAAGAAAGAGATCGTCAAGAATCTGCCGATAGCGCCCCCATCTCGAAGGCGCGGTGGAGCTCGCCGGCGTGATGGGGAAATCAAGAACAGGGAGTTCCCTGTCCCGGAGTCTCCCCGGATGGCGGCGTCGACGATCAAAAAGATCCATCCTTTTCCGGATTAGGGTTACGGTTTGGGCGGTGGCGGGAACTTTTTTCAAGGAAAAAGAGGTGACTGGGGAAGAGAATCAGTCAGTCCGAGATATTGAGAATCAAAGGAGTTAGCTTTCGAATTCGAGAGAGCGAGAGTGAGCTAGGGTTTGCGAATTCAGCAGCTATATCAAGAATTTGAGACGGAGAGAAAGAGAGATTTGAGATTAGCGTTTTAGGTTTAAGCTAAGATTTTAAAATAGAACGCGGGGGGTCTGTTCGCTGACGCTGCTAAGGTCGGTGGCGGCGGGTACGATCCGGGTCGGACCGGGTTAATTTCTTGCGCCCGTTTCAGACGCCGCTAATTCCTAGCGCCCCTTTATATTTAAGGCTTCATTACAGATAAAAGCCTAAACATTCTCTAAATTTTCACATAAATACCCAAGCTTTAAAACTCTACATATAAAAAATCCCACACTGTTGTTACAAACTCTCTCTTTGCCCAAATTCTCACTGCATTCGGCTAAAATTCAATCTCGAACTAGTTAAGTTGAAGGCACGGTGTAATTTTAGATCTTGAAGGAGGTGAAATTTCTTGGAGAATTTTCATTGCTCTGTGTGAGAGCTTGATTTGACTTAGATAAATGTTTTTGTAAGGAACTTTCAGGGTAAAGAAGGAGCTAAATTTGCTAGAAATATTTGCTCACCTTCTTAGTTGCCCATGTCAATAGGAGTTTTGTTTTAATATGTTTTGGTTTTACCTAGTCTATAGGAGAATACATAGCTTTATGTGGGCTTTATTGGAGTCTGTTACACTTCCTAGTTTCAAGCATTTATCTGTTGGCTTTAGCTCTATAAATAGAGTAGTTTCTAGTTGTGAGTAAATGTATTAGATTTCAAATCTATAAAAGTTCAGTTTTTTGTTTCTCTTTTTTAGTATTTTCTTCCTCGATAAATTTAACAGTGGTATCAGAGCCGGAGTGAGTTGTGAGGATTTTTTGACACATAAAAATTAGCAGGCTTTTACTCTTCTTGCATCACCGATAAAATCATGGTGGCCACCGACAACTTTGTGCAACCAACAATTCCCTGCTTTGATGGTGACTATGATCATTAAAGCATGCTAATGGAGAAGTTCTTGAGGTCCAAGGAGTATTGGCAGGTTGTTGAATCTGGAGTAGCTGAGCCAGCAGCCAGAGTAACGTTATCGAAGATGCAGAGAGTGGAGCTGGAAGCGTTGAAGCTGAAGGACCTTAAGGCCAAGAACTATCTTTTCCATGTCATTGATCGAGCAATCTTGGAGACAATTCTTAGCAAAGATACCTTCAAGCAGATTTGAGACTTTGTGAAGAAGAAGCATCAAGGGAACACAAAGGTAATGCGGATGAGGCTCCAAGGGCTTCAAACCGAATTTGAGACTTTACACATGAATTCAGGCGAGTCGGTTATAGATTTCTTTGCAAGAACGATGACGATCGCCAACAAGATGAGGATCCATGAAGAAAGAATGGAGGACATCACCATTATCCAGAAGATTCTCCGATCGATGACACCAAAATTTAATTTTGTTGCTTGCTCTATAGAAGAATCAAAAGATATTGATGCACTTTCAATTGGTGAGTTGCAAAGCTCTTTGCTCGTTCATGAGCAAAAAATTAACCAGCAAGAGAAAGAGGAGCAAGTATTGAAGGCCTTGATAGAAAATCACTCGACACAGAAAGGAGATAGAGGACGAAGCAGAGGCAGAGGTAAAGGCAGAGGAAGCAACGGTCGTTGCAATCAATAACAACACCACCGGCACCAAGAAAATCAATTTTAAGGAAGAGGAAGAGGACAAGGAGCCCATCACTCAACAACTCATAGGCCAAAGTCAGTAGATAAGTCCAATGTTGAATGCTACCAATGTCATAGTTATGGCTATTATCAGTCAGAATGGTGAATAATTTGAATAGGCAAATGGAGAAAGAACTAACTTTGCAGAAAAAGAAGAAGAGATGTCTCTTTTGATGGTGTGTCATGTGAAAGAAGAAATCAACAAAACATGTAGTATTTGGATACTGGCTGCAGCAACCACATGTGTGGAGATAAGAAGGTCTTCTCTAATCTAGACGAATCTTTTCGCAACACTATCAAGTTTGGTGACAACTCCACAATATCTATTATGGGAAAAGGAAGGGCCACTCTCCAGACCAAGGAAAACTCCACCCACACTATCTCTAATTTTTTTTTCCAGTTTTAAAGACCAACCTGCTTAGTGTGGGTCAGCTGTAAGAGAAGGGTTACGAGATCCATATCAAAGATGGAGTTTGCCAAATTCAAGATACATGTTGGCCTTTTTGTTTTGATGATATTTTAACAAATAATTTACGACTAATATTGTTTGTCTAATGTTTGTGTTTTCTTATTTATTCTAGACAAACAATGATTGCTAGAGGATGGATGGAATCGAGCTTTCACGATCATATTCAATGGAGGTTGGAGGAATATCGGTATGAAGCAATGCAATTCAAGTCAATATCCAAGTTCAACCTTCATCAGCTGTAAGAGAAGGGTTACGAGATCTATATCAAAGATGGAGTTTGCCAAATTCAAGATACATGTTGGCCTTTTTGTTTTGATGATGTTTTAACAAATAATTTACGATTAATATTGTTTTTCTAATGTTTGTGTTTTCTTATTTATTCTAGACAAACAATGATTGTTAGAGGATGGATGGAATCGAGCTTTCACGATCATATCCAGTGGAGGTTGGAGGAATATCGGTATGAAGCAATGCAATTCAAGTCAAGATCCAAGTTCAAGATTCATCTGTAAGTTTACCAATAAGACCTCATTGAAGATCAAGTTTCTTGGGTAAATAATTTAGGTTTTATATTATGTGTGTTTAGTACTTTAAGCTCAATATCATATACACACAATTTATTGATTTATCCGTTTTGGGTTTTATCCACAAACAAAGCTTTTACAAACAAACAAATTTATGTTTATATACATATATGTTTGTTTTCATGTGGATAAGTTATTTTAGTTTAGTTATATATATACAAAACAAATATACATTCATATACATATTCATATATTTCATATTCTAGTATATTTTGAAAAATATTGTGTTTTTTGTTTATAGACTTAACAACTATAGTTTATATCTTTTATCAAGTGTATATTTTGAAAAATATTGTGTTTTTTGTTTATAGACTTAACAACTATAGTTTATATCTTTTATCAAGTCTATAGAATCACTTTACAAAGTTTCAATTTATAGACTTAACAACTATAGTTTATATCTTTTATCAAGTCTATAGAATCACTTTACAAAGTTTCAAAAAGGTTGTTTAAAACAATTTGTAAAAACACATGTCTTGTTTAGTTTTTATGTTTCGGACCTTTTTGTAAAATGAAGAGATTTCTCAATTGGGAAGTGTAATTCTAAAATTTCTTTTTGTAACATGTTCATTTTCATGTTTACAAACATTCCTCAAAGTTTTATATTTTTTAAAATTTATTTGCTATTTTTAAAAGGGGTTTAAAGTTTAATTTTACTATTTATTTTAGGCTGATAACTTATTATCAGTCGACTGATGGATTTTATCAGTCGACTGATAAACTCGCCTGAAATTGTCAAAAAAAAATTTATGTGACTGATGAACTATCAGTCGAATGATGAACTATCAGTCGAATGATGACGTTTTCAGTCGACCGATGAGTTGTGAACTGTCTGTAATGATCATCTCATCAGTCGACTGATACTGTTCATCACTCGACTGATACTGTTCATTAGTTAACTGACGGCTCCAATGGTTAGTTTTTCTAGCTTTGTCCTGTTTTGGGTTTTTGGTCTTTTTGTTTTGTTTTTCTTGTGTTTTGGGGTCTCTATAAATACTCCTCATATCTCAGACCTAAAACTAACTAAGAAAATTGTTTATACAAGTTTACAAAAGAGTTTAAGGGTTTTAAAGTTTATTTTATTATTTGTTTTGTGAAGAAATTTTGACAAGAGCTTGAGGAGATCATCATTTGTGTTTGGGCATTCAACACATCTCCCTCTCTCTCTTGTCATCATAAAGAAGTTTTTCTAAACTCATATCTAGTTATTTATATATTTTATTTTTATTTTCATAAGCTAGAATTTATTTGAGTTTAGATTTGTTTTTTATTATACTCATTGTTCACACACAACCTATTGAGCTTATTGTATTTGCATACATAGTATAATTTGGGGTTGTGGGATTGTGACTTTGAGTGTGAGTTTAATTGAGTTCTCACCTTGTTTAGAGAACAAATTATTTGTTGTTGAGATTTTATTTGTGAGGTCACATTGTATTGCATAAGTATACCAAGAGGAGTGTAGAGGTGAGAGAGGTGGTCGGTCCTAAGAGGAATAGCGTTGTTAGTAAAGCCTAGTGAGATATAGTAATTTCGATCACTTGAGGGAGACACGTGAGAGACCAACACTTGAGGTGGTATTTGTGTATTTACAAGTATGAGTTGTAAACGTTGATCAGTGAGCGTTAAAAACCGATATTGTGTGGTGTAAACATTTTAGGGTGAGCGTTGAAAACCCGATGTGATAGTGGATTTCTCCCCAGGAGTGGGGAGCAGAGACGTAGGACGGAAGGTCCGAACTCCGTGATCATATCGTTTGTTTGTATTTTTCATTGGTATTCTTTTACATTCGTGCTTATTGTTTATATCACCATTGTCAATTGCTCTTTATTTATATTGCACACTATCTTGTTTATCTTGTTTATGTTTATTTCACTCTTTGTTAATTGGTTATCCTTGCATATATCTTATTGCTTATCAATCTTGCTAGGATATATTTGTTAATTAACTAATAAGTTTTAAAATTGGCATTAATATCGGATTAGATTAGCATTCACTCTATTTACCCCCTCCCCTCTAGGGTGCTTTCAATTAGTATCAGAGCTTGGTGCTCTTTGGTTTAAGGTTTAATCGCATTGAGTTAAAGATCCAAGTTTTTTTTTGTGCTAATCTATTTTTGAGATTCATTTTCATCTTGTTTGCATATTTTTATAATTATGAATATTAATAATCATATTTTTATTACAATTTTATATCCTCATTATCTATTTTAGATGAATAAATATACCATTAATAATTGTTTTTAGATTAGTTTATACATAAATGAATGGAAATATAAATAAATATTATTAAATGTAAAAACCCCTCAAAATCTCTCTTCTCTATTTTTGTAGCATTTTAGAAGCACATTGAAGCAAAAAGCCAATAGAACCGGACT